AAAAAAAAAAACCACAAAAAAACAGAAAAACTGGAGAGGCATCCAATTCTAAAATTGAAATATGCTTCCTTAATAGAATCAAGCCAAGTACTTCATATGTATTTATATATTTTTATATATTCATATATATATTTATATATAAAGCATGTCTAAATTATTTTAGAAATGTCCAAAATTTTAATACTACTTTAAAAGAAGATTAAACATATTTTTTTTCAGTTCTACTTAAAAGCTTAGAACACATATGAAAAACGGTCTTTACTTCTCCCAATTCACCTTCCAATTTATTGAATACAGTACTTACAGGTTTGGTATATGCTAGGTGCTTTATTTCCATTTCTTTTCCTAGTCTTCATAATTGCCCGCAAGGCAACTGTTATTTCCATTTTATATACAGGGCAAATGCCCTCAGAAATATTCAGTCACTTGACTATCACTCTACAGTAAGCCCCAGAACTACCACTTAAACCACAGTTAATCTGAGTTTTTCTGTACCTATTTAAATTCTCTTTTTGGCACCTTGAAATTTTAATACAAGTTCAAACTTTTCAATTCAGGGCCTCTCTCTCTGCCTGTCAGCCTCCCTGGCTTCAGCCTGCTCCTCCTCACACACAGCCCAGCATGGAACTATTAGCAGATTGCAATCATCTGTGCAGTTTCAGGCTCCCCAGGTGATTCTTTCTACCTAGATGTCTCTCTCCCCACTCCTAACTAGACTCACCCTGGCGAACTGCTAGTCATGCTTCAAGATTTATCTTACTTCCTCTCATACACAGGCACTCCATGGTATTTCAATGGTATGCCACGCACACTTTATTTCTCACATCCAGGCTGGTCTCTGCCACTAACTACAAGCCCCTCCCTGGAGGGCAGGATCTGTACCTTGTTTGTAGATTTCCACCTGACAGGAGTGCCTGAAACACAGCATAGATAAATGTGCTTTTCTCAAGGACAGAGTCTTCTTGAAATCTGAACTTTAAATCTAATCTAGCCTTGTTTAAATCTAAATTCCTGTTTTATTATTTCACAAGGCTATGTGACACAGGGCAAGTTAAATGTCAAATACTATACATGTAACTAGTAACAGTAAATAAAATTCTTTTTTGAGAATTAGCTATCCATTTGTTTAATACTTTAGACAAATCCATTAACATTTTAAAAAGCATTTTTTGTTAACTAAAAAACCTGGGGAAAATGGTTCCATATTACAGACAAACTTTTAATTATCATTAATGAACAGAATCACAAGCGTTTCTTCTTCTAAATTGCTTCAAAGATCCCTGGAAATATTTCAGCTTTCAAATAAATTTTAAAAGTCTTATCACACTTAAAAGTATCACAGGAGTCACTGCATCAAAATAATTTCCCCTTTTCAGAAAGACACTATCCAAAAGTTAAAAATATGAATAGTGATCAAAAGGCATATTTCAAAGCAGGCAGAATAAATAAAATTGAATTCCTTACTTATTCTTTTTAAGAATTCCCAGAGCTCAAAGGTTATGAGCATTAAAAGGTACCTTTTACATTGACTCAAATGTCAGAACACTTTCTTCCTTCACATTTCATGCAGCACTTACTCAGATCCTTTCAAATGGCAATCGTAACAGTCTTCTAACATAAACCTAATCTTTTCCAGCAAACCAGAAATAAATGCCATTAAAATTCGGAAAGAAATGCCATTTCTAAAAAGCTAATCAAATTGTTCTTCCTTAAAGTTAAAAAGTATACTTTGGGCCCCACTGGGAAAGCTGCTACCTAACTTGATTACATTATTTTAATGTTACAGTATTGACTTGGACATTAAATGATTTTTTTTCTCAAACAAAACAAGAAAAAGCAAGTGCCAGAAAAACAACTATTACTCGAAACTAACTCCAGCTTCTTATAATATGCCCAGATTCTCTGAAATACATAATTACAGCTGGGTAGGATTTTTTCCAGGGTCTCTCTGTGTGTAAGGAGTAATGCATTCATTTGGTTTAAAATTCAAAAAAGCTCAAATGTGTTTAGAGTTTGACTTTTCACCCTTTCTTCCTGAAGCAACTCACTCTTTAATTCTTTCATATCCTTCCAGACAAACTGTATGGTTATACAAAAAAATTAAGCATCTTGTCTATAACTTTTTGCACAAATGCTAAAGTATAATAACACTGACTTGCACCATTCCCAGTTATCTTCAATTCTGCTTTACTTTAGTGATTCTCAAACATTTTGGTTTCTGGAACCCTTTGTGAATGCTTTAAAAAGTAAATGAAGATTCCAAAAGGCTTTTGTTTAAATAGCAATGACCACCTCTCTGTTAGAAATGTAGCCTGCTGCAGCGGCATGCGCTCTATAGTCCCAGGTACAAGTGAGGCTGACAGAGAAGGATTACACACGAGCCTAGGGAGCATAGCAAGAGCCTGTCTCACCATCAAGCAATTACTCACTCAACAGGCCTTAAAATATACATTCATTCTAATATGACGATAAACTCACATCATTATTTTTATAAAAAAAACTTTTCCAAAACAAAACAAAAAAAATTTTAGTGTCATTATTTTGACATTTTATAAGTCTCTTAGAGCTAGGATTAGTAGAAGGTAGCTGGATTCTTCTACCACTTCAGTACTGAATCAATTGCGATGTATTATTTTTTTTTTTTTCCCCCTCCGGTACCGGGAACCGAACTCACGACCTTGCGCTTGCCAGGCAGCCGGCGATGTATTATTTTGAAGTAAATGGAATCCATTTATCATACAGATGTGGAAAAGAAGGAATGTTTTATCCTCAGGTAATTGTAGATATTCTTTAAAATAAGACAAGTGATAGTTTCTTAAAGGTTAGTCACAATACGAAATCTGAAACTTATCAATTTTTATACTCTGTTAGAACTTCTTAATTTATCTTCTGGTTTCAACAGACTTTCAACACATATCTCCTAGCATGTATTAGGCATTTAAAAATACTAAGCTAGATAGATTTTCTAAATGTTGACACATTTCATTAGATACTCACAGCTGTGAGTATCACCACCTATTCTTAAGTTTTGGAAAGCTATCAAGCTTCTAGTGGTAGATACGAATTTTCCAAACTTCTAATATTGACAACAACTATTGTCAACTGTTTTCCTTGACCAGACTTATTTTACACATTTTTGAGAAAATATTGGTTAAATATGTAAGTCTAAATATCATATAGTAGTTTGTCAAGTACTCACTGTCAAGTAAAAATGATGTACACGGGGTGGTCTGAGCCAGTTTGCTAAAACTCACAAAGACAGACCTAAGTGCTTCTCAAACAAGCACTGTACTTTGGTAGACAGCTTCCCATTTCTTCATGGAGATCACCTTTAGAATATCTTTAAATTGGGGCTGGGGATTTAGCTCAGCGGCAAAAGCACCTGCCTGGCAAGCGCAAGGTTGTGAGTTCGGTTCCCAGTACTGGAGGAAAAAAAAAAAAAAAAAAACCGAAAAACCAAAAAAAAAAAGAATATCTTTA